CCATGTCCCACTATCTCCGGGAAATCCAAGCAATTATTGAAGTACAAGTACGTCAAATTTATTCGATTGGATAGATTTCTGTACCAGCAATTATTATTTATCATAAATTATGATGGTGATGCTAAAAATACCTTGTTTCGTTTCTTCAAACGCTACTTATGGGTCTGATAAAAATATATGACATTTGAGTTTCAATTTTACTTAACTTTCTAAATGCTTATCGAGTTTTAATAAAAATGGACTGAATTATGACTAATTTCCTGAGTTATTGTTGTGCTCACCTCGTGTCAGTTTCCATCGAAATTTTTAAGTCAATCTTAATAGATACTGACTGCGGATTCCTGTTATTGCTCTCAGAAGTTGGCTATTTTATTTACTTACTGCTAACATGACTATTTTGTACGATTGGATCCAGCTCTAACGACGTCGGATGGCCGAAAGCCCAGAGTTGAGGATGGAGTTCTTGTAATAATAATTATGAATCCACGAGAAAGCAGTAGGAGAACCTATGGGTAAAATAATCGTTAGCTAGTCAAAATTTAAAAACATAATCACAATAATTAAGGATGCATTATACATTTCAGTCTTGATAATAAGCTTCTTACTATTATGTTTTTTACATTTGAAAAAGAGTAGAAAGATGGGAATTTGGTTGGGGCCCATCTGATGTCGCATTATATCCTGAGGATGCTCGGGCTGTGTTAAACCAATCGTTTTCTAAATGCTTGGCTCTGATTTGTTTAGTCAGGTGGCTGCTGCCTCTACAGCATATATTTCTAACTTCCAAAGCTATATGTTTGGATAAAGCACAAATTGATGCGAATGAATTTGGTAGTCCTATTTTGATCTACCAAACTGCTCTGCATCGAATCGTTGCCGTATACAAGAGATAATGATGCAATAGTTTGTGAGCAATTACCAACACAATAATTCGAATAAAGCAACGGGATTATATGTGATGCATTAACTGGTGATGAAGGACTGGTAGAATTTTCCCACAATGATTAGCAGAGCTGACGTTTCCATCGAATTTCTCTTCAAAAAGTTGTTTTTATCCAAGGTTGACTGTAGTTTCGACCTCGCATAGGTCTTATCAACACCTTAAGTGGGAGTCTAAACGTGACAGTGCTGCGTGTGAGCTTGACACGTTAACCACTACCAGTCATTCATCACCTCAAACGAAATAGAGTGAATACATCTCATATAACTGATTTACTGGTAGTCTCGAAACTCTACCTATATACGAAAAATAAGTAATGTAGTCGATTGTTATAGGAAAAATGCGTTTGCTTCATCGACAATCCCACCAAAGAATGCGATGGGGGATAAGACCTGGTCTTCTTTGATATTCACATCTGACCTATGATCCGAGGGCATTCGTGGCAATTTGGCCGAGTGGTTAAC